GGACTTCGGGGGACCAGCCCAGGGCTCAAAAAGGTTGCCTACCCCTGTCCTATGGATTCCTGAGATCTGAGGTTTACACAAAGGTCCTCAGAATTCTCAGCCAGAGAGCTCTAGTGCTTCACCTAATAACAAACCTGAGGATATCACAGGACAGAGCCATAGCAGCTAAAGCAGAATCATAGTGCTATAACTGTGTAGCATGAAAGGGCCCCAGGAGTTTCATTCCTGTGTGTGTAACAACTGCAATCTCCATTCTCTTCCAGTACTCTGCAAAAATCCTTGCACTAAGATTTATTTAATTTTAAGTGAAGATCTTTTACAGGTACGTTCGACCCTAAAACTTGACATCTACTCACCCCTGTCCTTGAGAATAAGAAGCTAAAGAAATAAGCTGGGTGAAAGAGGGCAAATATTAAAATGACACTGTAAAGTTGATTTTAAAAGTGAGAGGGAGAGAGAGAGAACCCAGTGTCCCCATACTAGACTATTAATAACCAGTCCTAAAAGACATCCATACAAAAGGGTTGTGTACACACAGATAGCTGGTAAATATCCATTTGTTTAAAAGGCACTGCAGAATGAGCTGAGTGGGGAGCAGAGCTCATGCCCAGGCATGGGGCTGACTGTGTCCCTGGACCTCTTAGCAGGAGTAAATTAATCTTCACCTACCCACCCCCAGGCTCTGAAATGCTCCAGCCGGCAGCCCCAAAAAACAGTGATAATGGCTAGAAAAGGTGCAACAAACTGGGCTTTACAATGCAGAGAACCATCAAATACTGTACAGTCCTTTCACCTGTTCACAACCCAAGCAATAACTAAAAGGTGTCCTCTCTTCTTTCTGCCCACTCCAATCAATACAGAACCTGGTAAAATCTATGCACACTATGATGGACAAAGTGTGATCCTCAAGACATCACTGAACAACTCCCATAGCTTTAGATAGCATAGCTAGTGGTGAGCCTACTATCTGCCCACTCCAGAATCAAATTTCATTTATAGACACAGCCAGAGAAGGAAACAACACATAGCACATCACACTTCAAGTCCACCTTGTGAAAAACAACAAAAACATGCTTTCACGGGAAATCACTTCTACACAGCATGCTCTTTAAGAAGTACTTTTAAGGAGCTCAAACCCACATCAACATTGTCAGTGACAAATGACAAACTACTTATTGTCAGTGACAAATGACAAACTTCAGTAGCAATCTTCTTCAATTTTTCAAGCTTTTTGGGACTAAACTGCTCAACCGGCAAAGTACTTTGTTCTACATACAGTATTTCAAACCTGCAAACTTGCTCTGGACTTTTGAAATGTAACTACTATTTATTAAAAATAAGCAACCTAAATAGTGCACCCTGAAATATTACAGCCTGAAACCCAAATATCTCTCTCCTAAAATCCAGACCTGTCTGAAAATCCTGTCAGTGTAAAAAAAATCCATTTCCTCTACCTTTCTATTATATTACAAATTTAATATAAGGTATAATTCACATCAGGGGTTGAGAAAACAGATCCATAAGCTAGCACTTGGTACCACTCTGCCTAACTGCTTCACTAAATGTCTGTATCCCCATTATATTTGACGTGCAGTCCAGCATTTTTATTTTATTATCCAGTATTTACTCTGTGTTCTCTAACATCTGTACCCAACCAGAGCTTCAAACATAAGTTTGTTTGGACCTCACACTCCCCCCTCCCTTCAAAACAGGGATCTTCAGGGTTTTAAACAGTCATCACTTGTCAGATGCAGACGCCCAATCTAGATTGCCTCCAAACTTTAGAATCTGCAAAAACCCTTGGCTCTTGGAAAAAGAGATGTTTTTCCAGGCCTCCCAGTGCACACACTACAGGACTGATTTGGATTCTGAACTGAAGGTCAAAAAAACAAAACAAGAAGCATACATGCATTTGGTGTTTCAAAGAAGAAGCATACATGCATTTGGTGTTTCCTGACATTGCCTTCCTGCCATACTCACAGCAGTCCTATCTGTTTGCCAAGACTGCATAAGCAGGTTTTTTGGAAGCAAACATCTCCTGATGCTTCCTTGGCCTCTTAATTTCATAGGTTTGGCTGCCAAGCTGCCACTGCAGCTGGATCAGTCCTGGGGCTTCAGTCATCAGCAGCTTACTGCCGTTTCTTGCTGGCCAAATTCTATGTGAACATATGTGGGCCCAACTGCACCTGGATCAACAAAGCTTATCCTGCGGAGTTCCAAGCCAGTTGTGACTATCTTATCTCCATGACCTTAGAACTAAGTCCATATTCAGCAACACTGCATTGCTTCTCTGACTCAGTTCTTCATTTTTTGCTTCATCTTGGTTTGCTCCGTTTTCTTTTGCTGCCCTTCATGCATCTCCCATCTGTAAACAGATAAACAAAGACACACACACATATACATCTCTAGGTTGAGGACTGATCTCTTTCTGAAAAACTTAAAATCATAGGATATGCAGACAAGATAGCTGTGCACACAATAACTACTGGAGTGTGCAAAAATAGGAGGAGGAAATAGCCAGGGAAGCCCAAGGTCAGAAACACAGCTGGTGCCACAGTGAGATCTTGGGAAGGAGGGGGATGAACACAAAAATACATCTGAACTATTAAAATTCATATACAATAAAACACACACACACACACACACAAACATATATAAAATGCTGTCCATGCAGAGAAACTACAATACAACTGCCATTATGAGGAACTTTCTAGACATCACAGTGAGTTATACATAGGAGAGATAATAATCTAAGGGTAGTGCTTAGAAGTATAGTCTGTACTAGCACATCAAGAGGGTGGGTAGTTGTTAGACAATAAAGTGTTTTCAACATATACAGAAGTGCCCAAGTTTGAAGCAAAACATTGATAAATAAAAGGGTAGCAATCCTGGGAAAAACCTCTACTTGAGACCATGGAGAGTATCTGCTTGACAAATTAGGGAATACAGATCTAGGTGGATCTACTGTTTGAACTGGTACAAAGGTGCATACATGTGAAGTGCAACTAGTAAAAGTATAGGGCCAAGTGAAAAACCAAGGTTATCTTGATGGGAGTGGTCCACAAAGAAGCTTTTCAAACACTCCCATCCACACATTGGACCTTATCACACGGGGTCTAAAGCAGTCCCATCCCCATCGCATCCCCATCCCATTGCGCTTCCTTTTCCCCTGTGTTCACACAACGTCGCAGAGAAACCCCGCCCATCCCCGTCCCATTGTGCTTCCTTTTCCCCATGTGTTCACATGATGTCGCATCCATCCCCGTCCCATCCCCGTCCCATTGCGGCATCATCCGGCATCATCCCTGTTCTTTTGAATGCCGGTTTCTTTGGGAATTACATTTTGCCGTGACCAGAATGATACCGGAATGATGCTGCTTTCTGTATACCGGTATAGTTCTGGATTGAAAAGGAACCGCAATGGGACGGGGATGCCACGGGGTTCTTTCTGCTTTAGGCCCCATGTGATAAGGTCCATTCTCTAGTCTAGTGCAACCATGAGGATGCATATCTTTCACTTTTGTTTTTATTAATCACAGCTTGTAGTTTCATATGAACCCAACAAACTTACTTAACTGTAACTACAGTTTGGTTGGTTTATTTCAACTACCCATACTTAAGATGAACCCCATTTTAGGATTATGAACTCTAGTTACACAAAAATGAGTACAAAAACTTCCAACCTCCTCCTCAAAATCTAAACTAGAGGACAGCAAGGACAAAAGCCTAAACCTTACTGTCCCTCTTTCCTATCATGATAAACTATATCATGACATCCAACCAAATTCCCTGATTGAAGCAACAGCAAATAATATGTGTTTGTTTATAAAAACATAAGAGAAATCTAGCATAATGTAGTGGTTTGAATGCTGGACTAGACTAAACGAGACAGGGGGCAATTACCACTGGATAGCTTTATGCAAATCACACTCTCTCAGCCTTAGAGGAAGAGAATGGCAAGCCTCCTCTGAAGATATTTTTTTTAAAAAAAAAATAGCACCAGAAGGTTGCCATCAGTCATATTTGACTTGAAGGCACATCACAACAATTACAACTTTAAAAAAACCTAACAGTTAGAAGGAGTACCTGTAAATAAAATATACTGTACAGCAAAGACTTCCTCATTTTCAGCACTAGCTACAACATAAAACGTGCCTTTCATCTCACTGCAAACACAACTTATCATTTGACCAATCCACATTTAAATATTTGAATTCTGCCATGTGCACTTTCCATTTACAGCAGCATATCAACAACACTCCCAGGCAAGTTCATTCATTCAAAGAGCTGTTTTCATTCACAAAACTACTAGCTACATTTAAATCATTCTTCCCATTTGCTACATTGATTTCATTCATCCAGTACTTTGAACTGTCATTTTCTCATAATGTACTGTGCCAGATTAAATGTACAGAAGTAGTACATTGCCTAGAAACTGAAATGCATAGAGAGTTCAGCTCTAGTCTTTCCTGACAAAAGGATTTAAGGCAGGTTTTTCCTGCAAATTTACTTGCTGTATTAGATTGTTGATTTAAACCTAACCATCTTCTGAAAAAGCTCAAAGGATTATCATCTTGGAGTATATAACAAAACAGCCCCATCCTACAACAAAGACATTGGGCACTATATCCCTTGTATAGAGTAAAGAAAACCTTATAAATTCACATTTTGACTGAAAAATCTGGGAAGCAAAAGGTACACTGCTTCAGACTTCTCTGCAATGACCAAAACCATGCAAAATCATACACTTTCAGGACTTTTAAGGTCAATGAGTACATCAAAAGAAGCTACATGCCTTTAGGCTTGCCTTGAATTATTATTTATTTCTAGAGCAATCTGATGTTCCATGAGATCAGATTTTGTTCACATTTCTTGAATTCAAAGAGCACCTACTTTTCAAAATGTATTTTAGTTTAATAAATGCCTCTGCCCACAAATCACTGCTGGTAGAACAGAAATGTTCTTATTTCCATTTTACATATAAAATGATATCATCTAAATTTTATTGTCACTCTTTAGCTACATCCAAACAATCAAATCTTATTACATTTGAAACAGGAAAACTAATAGCTTCCAATCAAATCAACACAAGAAGTGGTCACGGTTTACAGTTGGCTTAGCATCCTGACTTCCTTGGAAGTCATTAACCCTAGTTTTCTGGTTTGGACATAAAAGGAGGCTAATTAACTTTCAGCTTCCTGGATTATTTTCCTGTCGACACAAAGGGAGGAGTCAAGTGGCTGCATGCAGGTGCAGGAGGCTCGTTCATTTCTCAATTTATTAAGCTCAGATTTCATCATCCGACTGTAGCCTTTGAGGGGGGAAAGCAAGGTTACTTGGAGGCTGTTTCCTGTGATTCTGAATAAGGTTATCCTACACTCACATACAAGCAGGAAGAACCTCTATTGATTCTCCTCCATGTTTAGTTGGTCTTGATTTTTCAAATCACAAATTCAACACCCGCACTTGAGAGATTTCTCTGAGCAGAAGACAAAAGAACAGCAAGAACTCCCAAAGCATTTTTAAGCTATGTTTCCAACTTGGGATGCAAAAGAGATTCGATTCAAAGGACATCTGAGATGAAACAGGCAACTGCTGCCTTCATATATTTGCAGTTAAATGGGGACTGAATTATTTTATAATGGGAAGGATGCCCATGCACATGCATACAGGCACAAGACATCTTGACATTGATATATTTTGAAGGGAAAAGCCATAGGTTATGCATATCAGCATCATTCATACTTGATGGGTATGCATATGTATTCTGTACTTCAGAACTGGAATAATATAATACTGAATCCTATTTGCCTGCACCTTCTGGGTCCACAGAGATAGGAACTTCCTGTGTTACCACTTTAGCACCCTAGCCTATAATCTGAAGTTTCCTCAAAGAAGCAAAGTACCTTTTTCCTCTGAGACTTCACTGTAGAAAGACAGACCAGGTATGCATAATACTCCACACTGCCCAGGTTCAGTGTAACCAAGAAAAATAAGAACAAAATATTTAACCATCTACACATCAGGGCCATGTACTGTCATTAAGTACATTTCCTTTTCTAGCAGCTTCTCATCCTCCAACAGCCTGAAATTTAAGCCCCATAATGTGCACCTCCGGCATCACTTGCTTTTGTTTCATCAAGGCCACAGTAAGGCCTAGTAGTTAGGATGGCATCTTCAGGTACATTTGGGGAATCTGCATATCTACAAGATGCTGGACACTCTGGGCTCTAGGCTGGGTTATGTTTTGTTTGTCCTCAGCTCACTGCCTCACATTCACAATATACACTATTTTACATTTGGTTTCCTATTCAGTTTATATTTTCATTTCTGTGTTACTAAATCTTGTCTTGTAAGGGCATTTTGATATGATTACCTTTATCTCTATGTTTTTGTTTTGTCCTGTTATATTACTGCTCGATGTGTTATAATGGTTTATATATAACTATTCTACTTCCCCATCCCTCATAAGTAAATCCATCTCCTTAATTTTGTGTGTATGTGTCTGAGTACATGTTATTCTATAAACTGCACTGGAACTACACCCAGTCCTCACCTTTGAAATTTTTAAGGAGGATTTCACACACACACACACACACACACACACACACACACACACACAAAAGCTCGTGTGTGTTGTAAGCCTTCAAGTCATTTCCAACTTATGGTGAACCTATCACAAGGCTTTCTTGGCAAGGTTTGTTTAGAGGAGGTTTGCCGTTGCCCTCCCCTGAGGCTGAGAAAGTGTGTCTTACCCACGGTCACCAACTAAGTTTCATGGCCAAGCTGGGAATCTAACCCTGGTCTCCAGAATCATAGTCCAACACTCAAACCACTGTGCCACATGTAGGGCCTTTACAGACTGCCAGAAATAGTGCAACTTGAAGCCACTTTAACTGTCCTGGCTCAGGGTTAAGGAATCACAGGAATTGTAGTTTATTGTGGCACCAGAGCTCTCTGACAGAGAAGGCTCAATGTCCCAGAAAAAAATACAGTTCCCATGATGCCTTAGCACTGAGCCAGGACAGTTAAAGGGGCCTCAAGCTGCACTATTTCTGCAGTCTGTAAAGGCACTTAGAATCTCAGAGTCTTATGTAAATGTATGTTCCCCCAACTCAGGGTGAATGAAGAGGGTGCAGCAGTCCTACCTATAGGGATCACCCCTATAGCATTTAATGGCTCCAAGTTGGATTCATGGCATTTACTTGGAGTTCCCCATTACCCATGTAATATCACTTCTGTTTGTCTGAAACTTTCAGAAAATAAAAACATGGGTACTTCTGAAATCCCTTGCTTAGGAGTGGCCTTTACTTTCATCTATTCCCAAGAACAGGTATACAATAACGGAAGCTTCACTTCAAAACTGCTAAATCTGAGATCTGTGCAGAACATACTATAGGACAAGAAATTCCCCTTCTCTTGAATATTCTTCATCGTGTAAGTTTAGACATCCCCAAGCCAGGCTGACAAAGGATACTGTACTATTCTTTGTTTAAAGATGAAGTCACTGAGTTGTGGCAACATCATCTCAGTTAAGATTGAGGAGCCTGGATAGCTCTTCTCATGCTAACAGATTTGTTAAAGGGCATTTCAAACTTGCTTCCCGTATTACAGGTAACTTAAATAAACAGAATCTATTTCTTAGAAACAGGTATTTACATAGAAGTCCTGTGATGAGGGAAGAATCCAGCTCCTCCATAGCTGAAGACAGAAGGGCCCTTTCCAGGATGCCTCTGACAAAGAGCATAAAAGGCCTAAACAGACTGCCAGAAATAGTGCACATTAAATTGAGGCACTGCCCTGGCTCAGTGCTAGGGAATCATGGGAACTGTAATTTATTGTGGCACCAGAGCTCTCTCACAGAGAAGGTTCAATGTCCCAGAAAAAAATACAGTTCCCATGACTCCCTAGCACTGAGCCAGGGCAGTGCCTCAATTTAATGTGCACTATTTCTGGCAGTCTGCAAAGGCCTTTACTCTCACATTGTCCCCAAGTCTCTTGATTTTCAAACATCAGGGGCCTTACCACTGTTTTCTTCCATGGATAGATCAAATTCTTGGGGAGTCCACCCACCATATGCAAAAGATTTCAGGAGTGGTCAGCAAACCTTTGAATCTGTACAGTTCTGGGTATCATTATTATTATTATTATGATCCTAAATGAGAGCCATTTTAAAGATACAACTAGCTGAACAAATTAAAATGCATTAATAAGCCAAATAAAAATCAGAAAGTTCCAAATTCCAGATTAGTTATTGAAAAAGCTATTCTGCTAGATGAGGGCTGAAGGTGTGTCTCTCTCTGTCACAGTCCAACACTCAAACCACCAACCTAAAGATCAGACCCAGTCCTCTATACTTTCAATTCGGCTCATGGCCTGTAAGAACCCCATCCCCAGTTACATTTAAAAAACAAAACAAAAGTCAGACACCTCCTTCTTTTTTAGAGTCTTGAGATCTCAGGTGGGGCTGAAAGGTGTGATGGAATTTGAGGAGCTGTAAATAGATACTAATTAAAAACCTAGGAAACAGCCATTGCCAACACTGGCCGGCATTTGCTTCCCAAGGATTCAGACAGGTTTCTTTTCTAGACTATTTAGGACAGAGGTAGGCAACCTTTTTTAGCCGGGGGCTGGGTTGCTGTCCCTCAGACAATTGGGGGGCCGAAGCACCACAAATAAATAAATAAATAAATAAATAAATAAAAATATATATTTTTAAAAAAATATGCATGCACATTCTCTCAGCCCCAGAAAAGCCATGGCAAAACCCCTGTGGAGATTTTGCCAAGAAAACCCCAAGAACAAGTAATAACAACAATAATCAATATCATTATGGGGGGGGCGGCGGCGGCGGCGGTGGCAGGACTGGCCTGGGGCCAGTCCAAAGGCCTCAGGGGGGCGCATCCGGCCCCCGGGCCTTAGGTTGCCTACCCCTGATTTAGGAGATCCTTGCTATTTTTTCAGTCTCCCACCCAAGAACTAACCAGGACAAGCCCTGCTTGGCTTCTGAAAACAGATAACATTTTGTGCTTATTCAGGTTGCTATGGTGATTCTGCTGGCAGTTCTCCACATCTTAAGACCATAGGTGGGCAACTGTGGCCCTCTAGATGCTTACTGGACTGCATCTCCCAGCACTCCTCACCACTGGATATGAATAGAACTAAGGTAGTTATAGTCCAACAACATTGGGAAGGGCACAACTGCCCACACTTGCTGGAGTATCTCAGAAAGCAAAACTAATGGTCCTGTAGATGGAGAGGCAGGCATAGACAGTTGGCCTTCTGTTTCCATGGATTTTTTATCCGCGGATTCAAGCAATCATGGCTTGAAAATATTCAAAAAATATATAAATTCCAAAAAGCAAATCTTGATTTGCCTAATTTATATAAGGAACACCATTTTACTATGCTATTGTATTTAATGGGACTTGAGCATCCACAGATTTTGGTATCCACTTGGGAGGGGAGGCTGGAACCAAACCCCAGGAGATACCATGGGGCCACAGTACAGGTAGGGACAGGCTTGATTCTCAGTAGCTGGAATTACCAGAGGAAGAAGAAAATCCAGGCCAGCTCCAGCACTCCTGCAAATACATCCCCCTATTCTTCACCAGAGGAAGGACTAGGTCTCTTTATTCCTACAGAGGAGCAGAACACAAACAAAAGCATTTGTGGTGAGGCTAAAACCTGCCCTTCCACTTGTGACACCAGCTGGCCCAGTCTGCTTCGAAAGGTATCCCTACAGGGGTTATGTCTGTGTTCACCGGCTATGGAGAGGCGTACTCTATCTCACCCTCTCGGAAATATCAAACTCCTCCTCTACCCACCCTCATACCCCAAAACCACCTAGATTAAAAGCACTGTGCTATGATTAATGCCAAAAGCTACTGTCAACATGTACCATTGTTTCCCAAAGAGTGATGTGCCTATGCTCTTTGACTCTGGATTCCAAATGCACTGACCAAGAAAAGGGAGGGAGGAAGGGGTGATAAGACTGTGCACGAATGTCAGCTTCTTTTACCTACATCTCTGCAATTGCTCACAAGTCACACAACAGGCTGGAGGACCCCAGTGGCACAGATGAAATCACCACATGTGGAACGAAAACAAAAAAAACCCCGAGAAGGACAAGGCATCCCAATGATAACACCTGGCAGAAGGCCCTGCCTCAACAGGAGCTCAGTTCAAGGGGAGCAGATCTCAATAGTGGTAGCCCAAAATACACTCTGCCCCCCAACCTCACTAAGCTCCGGATTCTTTCAGGAGCTGAAGGGTACCAACTGATGCTTCCTTGGAGGTGAGAGAAGGCTCAGGTCCCCCACCCATCTCTGAAACCCCCTCTTCATACTGCCTGAGGGGACAGATCTAGAGATCTAGGGCTTGGAAGATGGAGTAAAGGAGGCTGAGAGAGTGTCAGGAGAGGCAGCACCTTAGATTTACCCCCTCCAATTATGGAAAGGGAATAAATATGGAGCCAGTGTGGGATAGTGGTTTCAGTGTTGGAGACCAGAGTTTGAGTCCTGGCTTGGTCATGAAAACCCACAGGGTGACCTTGGTCTAGTCACTCTCTCTCAGCCTCAGGGGAAAGCAATGCAAACCCTTCCAAGAAAACCTCTTAGGGTCCCCATAAATTAGAAATGGCTTGAACCATACACAACAACAACAAATGGAAGAGAAGTGGGGAGACTACTTTGCCCCCAAAGACTTGACCCATCTGGCTCCTTCACAGGCACAAGCACAAGTCCTGTGGAAAGCAGGCTGACCAGGTATCCTCCTTTTCCAGGACATGTCCTACATTTCAACCTTCTGTCCAGGAGGAATTCCAAAATGTCCTCCATTTGGGGCATGGTAAAGAAGTATGAATGTATATGTATATGAGTGTTTGAAGCTTTCCTTTGGCAATGACCTGCATTTTTTTTGGAATGTCCTCCATTTCCCTGTTTTGTCCTCCTTTGTGGTGAGGAGGACATCGGGTCACCCTGTGTGCAAGGGCAGCTGTCAAGACCCAACAAAGTGCCAAAGCCAGAAATGGAGGAGGAAGAGGAGGAGATGGAAACAGGCAACCCAGAAGACAACAGTGGTGCCTTTTGCAAAAAGTAATACAACTATCTCCAGGATGCTAACTTTGTTTGCTTTCCCTTCCCTTAAGCTGTTGCAAGCTGCAAATGAAACCCAGCGGTTCCCAAACTTTGCTCCTGCAGATATTTTTGAACCACAGCTCCCAGAATTAAACCAATTTAATCAAACTGCCTGGGGCTTCTGGGAGTTGAATAATAATAATAATAATAAATTTTATTTATATCCCACCCCTCTGTCAAACAGTCCCCCCCAAAAAAAAAACCAAACCAAAAATCAACCAACCCTGAAGGACCAAATGCATCTGAGGAAGAAGTAGCCTGAAGTCTAGGAAAGCTCCTACTGCCAACTTCTTTCTTTCAGTTAGTTAGTCTCAAAGGGGGCGACAAGATCTCCTTTACACGCTGAAGGATCAAAGTTTGGGATTCAAACTGAATTAAAAGGGATTAATAATTTGGGGAAAGAAAAAAAACAAATAAGGGGGGGAGAGAGGAGGGCGGTAAAGGGGTTGTTCCAAGAAGTCTCTCTCACTCCTGCTGCATATTTTGGGGAAAGGTCAGGAAAAGGGGGAAAAAAACCCCCAAATCTCCGCTGGCTTCTTCATTAGGCAAAAGCGCTTAACACAGGATAAGAAAAGTGACAGTGTTAGAGTCATGAGCCTATATTTTGTATTGGATATTGTTTCTAGCGTAATTCGTTTGGTTTGAAGGGATCTCGATGCAGGCAAAGGCCACTCCACTCTTGA